GTATTAACACCAGTAAAATTATGTAAACATGCAGTGCGTATTAACACCAGTAAAATTATGTAAACATGCAGTGCATATTAACACCAGTAAAATTATGTAAACATGCAGCATGTATTAACACCAGTAAAATTATGTAAACATGCAGCGCGTATTAACACCAGTAAAAATTATGTAAACATGCAGCGCGTATTAACACCAGTAAAATTATGTAAACATGCAGTGCGTATTAACACCAGTAAAATTATGTAAACATGCAGTGCGTATTAACACCAGTAAAATTATGTAAACATGCAGCATGTATTAACACTAGTAAAATTATGTAAACATGCAGCACGTATTAACACCAGTAAAATCATGTAAACATGCAGTGCATATTAACACCAGTAAAAATTAGTTAAATATTTTCCTTTCAAAGGTTCAAACATTATGGAATACTTGCATCTACAAAATGGGGTCTGTCCTGACCACTGGCCACTCTTAAGACAGGACCGTATGTTTTGACCAATCACCTCGTATCCTTTGATGCATGAATACACAACCATTCTTCCAATGGTAAAAACACTGCCCTCTACGAAAGTCATTGTATCCAGTGTGTCAGGTACACCACATGATATTTCTGAAACATATGATAAAAAAAGTTGCTTAAGATCTTATTGTGTAGTGTATTACGTACTCCCTCATGGAATAAGTGACAAATACCAATGGTATAAAATTACTTCTAGTGTGTAGTGTATTACATTTACTCCCTCAAGAAATAAGTGACAAATACCAATGGTATAAAATTACTTCTAGTGTGTAGTGTATTACGTACTCCCTCAAGGAATAAGTGACAAATACCAATGGTATAAAATTACTTCTAGTGTGTAGTGTATTACGTACTCCCTCAAGAAATAAGTGACAAATACCAATGGTATAAAATTACTTCTATGTTTAATCAAGTTCATGTGTGGAATGTTTTAGAAGCTCTATAAAAGTTGTTTAATTAACATTTCTTTATGTAATATCTCTACCAGTTAAATGTAGCATATCATGTTCTACATAGCAAATCAGTGAAATGTTGCAGAATGTTAACATGAGAATACTTTTGTGTTTATCATATTAGGTGAATCTTGAATAAAAGCTGCCTTACAGAAGACTGATAATATATGAACAAACTGTTAAAACACTGAGCATCTTTGTCCCTTACAGAAGACTGATAATATATGAACAAACTATTAAAACACTGAGCATCTTTGTCCCTTACAGAAGACTGATAATATATGAACAAACTATTAAAACACTGAGCATCTTTGTCCCTTACAGAAGACTGATAATATATGAACAAACTGTTAAAACACTGAGCATCTTTGTCCCTTACAGAAGACTGATAATATATGAACAAACTGTTAAAACACTGAGCATCATTGTCCCTTACAGAAGACTGATAATATATGAACAAACTGTTAAAACATGGAGCATCTTTGTCCCTTACAGAAGACTGATAATATATGAACAAACTGTTAAAACACTGAGCATCTTTGTCCCTTACAGAAGACTGATAATATATGAACAAACTGTTAAAACACTGAGCATCTTTGTCCCTTACAGAAGACTGATAACATATGAACAAACTGTTAAAACACTGAGCATCTTTGTCTATCAAATTCAGTGTACCTACTAAAAAATCAGATAACTGCAGCTCTCTGAAGATCTAGGAAATGTAGTTTTAAAAAACTTAATTAACTGAAACCCTGTTACACACTTCATGATGAATATTATTACAGCTACTCAAAACAATCTAACTTTCAGTACTTAACTGATCAATTATCCTATTTATTAATAAATATTTTTATGCAGAGTAAAACCCCCCTCTTCCTTTATGTGTAAACATCTGTGATGTCAGAAAGTAAGACTAAAATAAGAACAAAAGTACAAAGATTGGTTTAGAAAGAGAAGCAACATTATAGTAAGATGTGATCAAATAAAGTGCATATTTTTAAGTGAGGTATCTTGTTTGTGAAAAAAAAAGTGGGAAATTTTATAATACTGCTATACAGTAGGTGTTGCTAAACCTAACTTTCAGAACTAGATTCTGTACTACTGATACATCTTTCAACATACACTGACCTATACACTGAGGATCTTGACCACTCCAAGTGCCATTCTCTAAACAAAGCCTACGACTGGGCCCAACTACTTTGTAATTTTCATCACACTTGTATTCTACTGATGTACCATAGAATGTTGCATTGTTGGGTAGCAACCAGTGACCATGAGCCACTGGCATAAGAAGGCCACATTCGACATCTGGAGGGTAGATGGTATAAAGAATGTTAAAATGCTGTACACGGAAACTTCTAGTGATGTAAAGATACAAGATGTACTAAATACATTGAATATCATCTTCTTCAACTAAAAAAAAAGAAATTAATATTGGTATTTATAATCTCAGATCAATAATGATCATCATTTAAAGATTATAGCATTAAAAATAAAAAAATAAACATCTTGTTAACATCTAAACAGCAGTTAAAATAGAAGTTAATTCCAAATCTGATTTAAAAAATACACATTAAGCTTGTTATATTAATTTGTTTTGCAAAACACTAAATCAAACAAACGCATAAACCAGGAGGATAAACCTCACCACATACCAATTTCTAAACCTATATCCCCCCCCCTGCAAGTAACTTGTTCCTTACTGAACTTTGATTACTTACATTTACATAAGGGTACTTCTCCACTCCAAACTCCTGTCTGTAGACATCTTCGTAATGACACTCCTTTCAGGACGTGGCCTTCCATACAACGGTATTGAGCATTAGATCCTATCTTAAAGGAAACTGCTAAAGAACGATCGTTACCCGTGTAAATAATTGAAGCATTGTGTGGCACTTGAGGAACTGGACAACGAATTTCTATGTAGAAAAGAAAAATTTTTGTTGTAACCAAAATTGATATACATGTTTTGGTGAAATTTTATTATCGTAGTGCAGCAACACAAGTATGTTAACAAGAATACCAATGTCTCAATGGTATTGGCCATAGAAGTTGAATCAGAGCAATTAAAACTTCCAATTCACAATAAACTTGTGCAATGTAAAGTATGGCAATTGTCAGTTACTGGACAACTGTTTTAGACATTTACATATGCAGCAATTTGCCTAGCATAGTTAACAGATGAATGACCTCCCCAATTCTAAAGCTTAACATGAAAGAGTAAACATTAATTCCAATAATACTCACCTCCCCTCACACTACAGATATTACTCAACTGTTAGGGTTTCTTTTCCTTTGCCCATCTAAGCATTGGTCAATTTTTTCTCCCTTGCTCCATTCTTTTATTCCCTACTTAATTACCCTTGGCGATATCTGTCTCGTGACACTCTCCACCTACGTTAATGCACCCTTTATCCTGGTAGTGTATATAAGCACCTTCTTCAGATAGTATTGTACTTTTTTGAGACTGACCCAGTCTGTAACACCACCTTTTAGTGGGGAGGAAGGGTAGAGGTAAGTATTATTGGAAATACATTTTTTATTTAAGAAAATATTAACTTCCAAACATACCTCCTCTCACACTACAACTAGAATCCCATATTGATAAGGTGGAGGGACCATTGAGGATATTATCAATATGGAATGTGTCTACATAGATCATGGGTGTGCCAAAAGAAATAGAAGATTAGCAAGGGGGGAACTGCAATACATCCAAAACAGGTATGCTCTTCACCTGGAATCTTGCACTGAAGGTGGAATTTAACATGATCTGTCATCACCACTGGCCAGGCCCCAACTAGGTAGCTGAGGTCCCACTGCTCAGGGTTGGAATTATAGGGCTTACCCTGGATGTTTTTTTTTCCCAGATGTCGGTAGGAGCTGCACCAGTCTACACAAGAGTCTACTAGTAATACTGGATCAGATTTGATGCTCAGCTATCCAGTTGGGTTGAGCATGGCTCTTCTTTTTGATCAATATTGGTTCAGTACATTGTTCCTGGAAGAGGGTCCATTGTCTCCGAATGCAGAGTGGTCCCATTTTGGGTTCTTGGTTGAGCACAGATTGTTTTACATCCTTCCCATAATTCCGGGGGCAAGTGTAAATTACCTTGCTCACACAGTTCAGGAGTGAGGATGAGTGTTCATAATTCCTGACTGGATAAGTTCTGTTTCTTCAGGTGAAGTATGGCATACAGGATCCCCTCATTCCAAGTTTGGGATGTTGCTTTTCGGACTTCTTCAGGTTGATCACTCTATAGCTACAGGTTGTGATCCACTCACAAATATATGTATAAATTCCAGTCCAAATGCCCTAGCCACCAATGTGGGATTTAGGGGCCATCCCGAATAGGAGGGCCCCCAACTTCCCCCTCTTTCCAAAGAGTTGAGGAAAGTCACTTGAACACTTTGGAGGAATAACCTCTGACAACCATCCCAGTAACTGGGAACCAGGAGTGATAAGGACTCCCTAACTCTACTAGTAAAATAGTGGGGGGGGAATGAGTGTTGGGGAACCCTGAGGAACAATCCTCTGGAAAGAGTGCAATAGGTGAACCAAGTTCCCTAAAATTTTAAAAGCAAACCAACTCCCGATTTATGTAATCCACTGATTGGCAGGATCCCCTTATGTTTAACTCATGATAGTCCATGAGTGGCAGTCCCACATGGTACAGTAATACCACCTGGTCTGCCTCTAAATTGTCTTATGGAACTCCTCATTTCTACAGAGCCTGTTAAAACCTAGATAAAGTATATTGTGTTAGTTGTTGCTAGTGTGGACTCAATTTGATAAAAGCACACCTGACTGGGCAATACTCGCCACAGAGTGGGATTCTGTGAAAAAACGATAAGGAACCCTGGAAAGGAAAGAAGAGATAAGATTAGTAAGGAAAATTCTCACCTCTCTTTATAATGTAGTGGATGTTGTTAATATAACTCCAGAGGATAGTCAAACTTTCAGAGGAAGATACTGCCAGATCAAGCAAATAATGTGAAATTAAAGTATTGTGGGGGTGGGGGTTCACATAACAGCTTGCGCAATGTCCTCCAGAAGGCAATTCAACTGGGCCATACAGGATGTAGAAATGTGATGAATCTGATAAAATGTGACTCACAGAAGTCTCCTCACGTCCAAAGTCCAATTTTTCATACCCACTCCAATAAGTCATAGAGGTGATAAATAGTGGTCAGATAAATTGATGAAAGGATGAGGTAGCAGCTGAGGAACACCTATCGTAATATTGTTCTGATATAACCACCACTCGAGATCAAAAATGTTGATCCTGAATAAGGAGACTGGGGAATCCAGTGGACTGCTGTTCATGATCCACTGGTCACATAGAGACTGAAGAGATCGTATGTGCACTCTTCCCAAAGGAATGAGGGATTCGAGTGATGCCCACAACCCCAAAAATGAGAGAACCATTTGTGCAGTGGAAGAAGGAGACATGGAGCCAGATTAGAGTCAGCTGATTCTGACTGAGATATGTGTTAAAAAAGACACCCAGATGGATGATATATTGTGTTGTAGTTATAATAAACTTCTTGGCTCTGATAAGTTTGTATGATTTGGCAGAAAACATGTATGTTGCCAATGCTAGTCTGAAGGACATTACCCTGAACTGCAGCATCTGACCCTTGTGCACAAAATGCAGATAGTGGTGGGATGACTTTGCTATGGGAATGTGCAAATAAGCATCAGTGACCTCGAACTTGGTCATCCACAGTCCTGGCAAAAATGGCAATGCAGAGTGAGGAAGGGCTCTATCATGAACTTTGGAGGATCTAGGAATTGATTTAGATGAGAAAGATCAATGACTGAATTCCAATCTCTTGTCTCCTTGGCCACAACAAACAGATGGGAATAAAACTATGGAAGAACTGGAATGACTCTCTCCACTGCACCATTGACCAACAACTTTCTGATAGCCGTGGAACGAAGTTCTGAAATCCGAGGATCTGCGGGAGGTGGATACACTACAGGTTGAGGGAGAATATTGGTGGAGATATGAACTGAATGACTAATCCTGATGCAAGGACCTGTAGTACCCATGGATCCATGGTAAAGGTTTTCCACAGGTCCAGAAATTCTTGGAGCCAAGTTCCCACAGACCCCAAAAAGCATATGGTAGTCACTGCTGCCAGGGTTCCGACAGAGCAGAGGAACCTTGTGGATATGGGTAGAATCTATTCTGAGTACAATTGGACCAAGGGACTGGTGTTGGGGTCAGGACATTTGAATAGAGGCAGAACTATGACCCCCTGTAGGAAAGTCGAGAAGCCTATGATGACAGGATGAATGCAGATGGGTGACATCAACCCTTGATCCCAAAAGACTTTGGAACACCCGCAAAAATCAATGGTCGGAGAAAGGGGGCCTCAAATAACTCATGAGGGGTGGCAGCAGGTAGACAAACACTCTTCAACAATGCATCTCTACCTAACAAATCTCAACAATATACCAGCCAAGAGACTAGGGAAAGTGCAAAAGCTGACAATCAAACCAAGATGGATGCTAACAATGGTCCTAACTCATCATCAGATTGACATGGTGATCACTGGGAGGCTTCTGAAAAAAGGTGTAGGGATGATAAATATCTCAGCACTGTAGTTAGGGTCAGACGAATCCCAGAAAATTGTGATCTATTCATGTTAACCACAGACTCCGTTCTGGAACCCCACATTTCCAGAAGGTGGGTCCTATTTTCTGAGTTTAAATATGCTTCCACCTGGTAGTGGTAGGCTAAAGCATGTTGTTCTGACAAATGTGTTGGACAAAGCATAGCTTTCCCTTCACATAACTGAACAGTAATCCTCCTTGCATGAGCTGTAATATCAGGGGATGGAGGAAGAACCAAGTACTCTCCCTCAGACCTACCTACCCTCAAGGAAGGTGCAGACTCAAAAGCAACTGAGGAAAGACCAAAAACATCACACACTCGATTTACCAACTGAAGAAAAGGAGCCGGAGCCACCTGATCCAAATTGGCCTCCTGAGAACCTGACAGAGTAAAGGAAGGTGCTGGAAAAAGCGAACCTAAATTTTCTCCAGAATGTCCAGGATCACCCGCAAGTACAGCCTCAAAGCATAAAGGAGAAACACCACCGGACTGAATTTATGTTTTCATCTCACTGCAGATAAGGTCATGGACAGCCTTAACCGAGAGTGTTTCCCCTCCCCAAAAAATCTTGAACAATGCTAGATACCAGAGGTGAGGTAGGAGAGACATGATGTTCCTTCATGCTGGATACATTAATCCAGGAATTCATGCCATATATTGGCTTAAATTTCTTTTTTGTATGAAACTCAAATAGTTCATAGAATGTTCAAAGAATCTCCAACAGTCGTACTACAGAGAAAACTTGTTAGTGAACACTTTGTTGAGAAAAAGTGACAATATTACCTGAAGGAGGTGCTTATATAAAGTCCAGGGTAGAGTGTGCATCGACGTAGGTGGAGAGTGTCACATGACAGATATCGCCAAGGGCAATTAAGCAGAAAATAAAAGACTGGAGCAAGAAAGACAAAGCAGACCAATGCCTAAATGGGCAAAGGAAAACAAACCCCAACAGTTGAGTAATAGCTGTATTGTGACAAGAGGTGAGTATTATTGGAAGTATGTTTCAATTTAAGAAAATGCTAACATCAATTTGTTGGCTATACAACCCAAAACATAACGGACATACCTAAATTCTGAAAACAATAGGAGGATTAAACAAGTTTTATAATTCAACTTTAGAGGATCACAGTTGTATGGAATTTTTTATGTTTAAGTTTCAAACAAGTAAATTACTTAGATATTAATGCCTGATTAGAAAAATATCCTTTAAAAAGTTCTCAGAGCAAGAAATCATAAATCTGAAATTCTAAAAAAAAAAAAAGGTACTGGATGAAGTGGACCTGTTTTTGAAAATGATAATCTACGTGTAAAAGAAAAATGACAAAGCAGCTCAAGTAAGTCCCAGTACTAGTACCACCATAAAAATATGTTCTGGTGAGTACTGGCAGAATTTCATCTCTCCTATAAACCCATTTCAGTGTTTACCTCTAGTTATTACCATGAAAAACCCATAATTTTCTTAAGTTACCCAGAGGATTGCATAAAGACTCATTCTTTTATATGTAATTGTTAACATGTAAAGCCATCATGACTGTATGCTGTGCTTTCTCCCACACTGGATGTGTCAATCACCCCGCAAAACTCTTTTTTTTTACACGAGTGCTTTCCCAGAACTTTTGCCCTCATGCGAGAATTGCCATTTTGGAAGAAAGAAGTAACGTTGATATAATAGCGTATGTGAAATGATAAATGAGTGCATTACTAGAAAGAATTAAAACAGGCTACAGATTACAATAATAGTATAATAATACATAATTTCACCAAAAAAAATCTGAAACTAATAAATAAAAAAAAGTCACCACAGACAATCAGTAATACTTGATAGGTATATCTGTCAAATTATTTTTTCAGTTCAATTTATTCTTGCCATAGATTTTACAGAGTAGTGTGCATTGTTTTAATAAACCAAGGAGTTAAGAGGATTAAATATTAAATCTGTATTTGTACAACTTTACAAACACAGTTTTACTTATTTATGTCGTAATTTGATGGCATGTTCCAACTAACCTTCACATAAGGGGGTGCTTCCATTCCAATGGCCATCTTCCAGACAAAGACGCATTCTGTCACCAATTAGACGATATCCAAAACTACATTTATAGGAAATAATACTGTGAAGGAAGGTTGTTTCATTAATGTAGTGGACAGCCCCCCGTGGTATGGGTGGAACTCTACCACAGTCGACAACTGCAGAGATGAAAAAACTTTGTTAAAAACCAATTTTACAAAAATAGTAATAAAGTTGTAACATGTGTAGCCATAAAATCTGTGTCAAGCAGAACAGAATTAAATTTCAGTTACACTATGCTTCTGCTTTACAGAAGAGATTAAAAAAAAACACAACATTATACTGCAAGTATTGTTCTTTAAGGAAATCTTTCAGAAATATAACATTCCCATCATGTAGAATGAGGCTATTAACTTGTTATTGGAAAACACTTTTAAGGTATCTGTTATATTGTAAGGCCTAACGACCTAACATTTTTTTAAGGTATCCGTTATATCGTAAGGTTTCTTAACTTTGACTCTGTTTAAGAATTAGTAAAATTTTAAATACTTTTTGGAGTGTTTGAAACAAACCTAAAAGAACAACTTAAAATTTACATAAGATTATATCAAAGATTAATAGAAACAAAATCAGAGTTGTTATCATTATTTTGGGTAGTTGTATCTACGAAAAGGGCACAATAGGACTAATACACTACATCATTTTATTTATTGAAAACATACAGTGACAAATGGCAGCTTCACCCATCCACTTTCCATCCAGTCCACAGACTCTACGAGAAGATGTGCTAATCATCACGTGACCAGTTTCACAGAAGTACTCAACGACTGAGTGAACAGTAAGTCCACCTCCTTCCACGTAAGATCCAGGCCGTACGTCTGGTTCTCCACATTCAATTACTGTAAGAGAGAACCAAGGACCGTTACACTGAAAATCACTTTTTCTTTGACTGACAGACACTGTATTAAGAAATCTGTTATTCTGTAAATGTTCTACCTGACTTGTTAATGGTTAAATGGTGCAATAGTAAACAGACAAATCCTTCTCTACCTTTCATATTTATATGAAATGGAACAAAAAAGTTACTACACTATAAAACGTGTTGTTTCTATGTAGTTAATTACTGCAAAAACTGATAAAGTACATAAAAACAATTCTAGTCTGCAGCCATGCATAACTAAATGCTGTAGTGAATTTGATTTTAAAATATAAAATTATTAACAAGATTAAATAAACGAGAAGACTTAACTTGATTAAATCAGACAACTACATTTATTTTTATGTGAAAACTGCACTGAACTTTAATAAACTATGTAATGTTTTGTGAAAACAGCTTCATCCTTTAATTATGTCCATTTAAATATGGTGTCTAAAATAAAACAAAACATTTTACTATTAGTAACACAGTGAGACACTTGTTAATGCCAAGCATAGCCTCCCAGTGGCACAGCTGTATGTCTACGGACATACAACGCTACAAACCGGGTTTCGATACCCATGGTTGGCAGAGCACAGATAGCCCATTATGTAGCTTTGTGATTAAACTACAAACAAACAAGCCAAATCGAAATCTTTCCATGATGAATAAGATATACATTTATCAAAAAGAATTAAGTAAACTTAAGTTCCACTTCCTTACATTTGCAGACAGGTTGTTTTCCACTCCACAACTTCGTTTCAAGACAAGTGCGTACCTCATCCCCAACAAGACTGAAGTTTTGATGACACGTGTGTTTAACTTTACTCAAGTATGTTGTAGTCTGGTTTAAGAGCACATGGTCCCCATTCGTTAGAGGATCTGGCTTACCACAATCAATAACTGTAGATATAATGAGAAGTTTAGTGTTCTTACAAGTAAAACTCTCTAAACAATAACACTGACACACAGCAGGATTTTGAATCATTGAATCATCTGCTATTTTCTATACACAGAACCAGCTTTTTCAAAAAAAAAAACAGTTAAAAGAAAGGATCAATACTTGGTAGTTAACAATGCAGGTTAACTAACCCATGTCTTCTACAAAGACAGTTGAAAGAAAGGATCAATACTTCTTTGTAGAAGACATGGGTTAGTTAGCCTTCTCTATTAGCTAAGATCCCTTCCTTTAACAACAGATCATACAAATTTATAGTTTTAAACTTACATTTACATTCAGGTTCACTGTCTGTCCACATCCCACCAAGTTCACACTTTCTTGTGTCTTTTCCAATAAGTCTGTAGCCTTTCTCACAGCTGTATTTAGCCTGACTCCCAGCTGACTGTCCTGTAACCTCCAGGATACTGTTTGCTGGTGTTTTCAGCTGTGGACACTGGTTAACTGTGAAAACAAAACAAACACACAAAACTCCTCATGACAAACTTCAGTATACACTGTAACACTTTTATAATTGTCATAACCTTTCGTGGATGTATAACAACACGAAATGTTCTAACATAATAACATGAAACAACAGTTGTGCTTCAAGTTATTTTATTTAATATAACCCCATGAGTATAATGTCAACATTTGCTTGTGTGATGATCATTATTTTTTCCCCCAGTGGCAAATTGGTTTTGATACTGGTAGCGGGCAGAGCACAGATAGCCTAATGTTTAGCTTTTTGCTTAATTACAAACAAGCAAAATCATTACTGTTAGTGAAGATGGCTTTCATGTGTTTATATATATATATATATATCAAATCTTAAAGAAAGGAAAATAGTACCAATAAGCCAATCCTTCGAAGATATTGTACCTGTTTGTTTCTATCAGGTGTATTCACTGTCACCCACTTCCTGTTTGTTTCCATCACGTGTATTCACTGCCACCCATTTCCTGTTTGTTTCCATCACGTGTATTCACTGTCACCCATTTCCTGTTTGTTTCCAGCATGTGTATTCACTGTCACCCATTTCCTGTTTGTTTCCAGCACGTGTATTCACTGTCACCCATTTCCTGTTTGTTTCCAGCACGTGTATTCACTGTCACCCATTTCCTGTTTGTTTCCAGCACGTGTATTCACTGTCGCCCATTTCCTGTTTGTTTCCAGCACGTGTATTCACTGTTTTACAGTTTTTGACAATAATCATGAACTGTAACTCTGATCAAGCAGCATATTGTTTAAACATTGTTTGTTGTGCAGGTTTGAACAAAAACTATTTCCATAATAGTGCCTTACATTAATTGTTGAAATACCATTGGGATTATCCCCAAGAATACTTCTAACAGTACAGGCACACAACTAATTGTTCAATGCAGTCTAATCAATACAAGATTTAATTTTTGTTTCCATTAATGTATAAATTATCTTGAATGATTTTAGTTGTGATCTATATAGTTGGCTTACTTTTGATCAGGAATTCTTAATTAGATGAAAGTAAATACAGTAAAACATTACAGTGCTATACACAATATAATATTAAGTATGGTAACAATGGTATAAGTTGTAACATCAAGTTAACAATCCACACTAAAGTGAGCCAGTTCTTCACAGGTGTTGTGTGAATAACTTGGTATAAGTTGTAACTTCAATTTAACAATCCACACTAAAGTGAGCCAGTTCTTCACAGGTATGGTGTGAATAACTTGGTATAAATTGTAACTTCAATTTAACAATCCACACTAAAGTGAGCCAGTTCTTCACAGATGTTGTGTGAATAACTTGGTATAAGTTGTAACTTCAATTTAACAATCCACACTAAAGTGAGCCAGTTCTTCACAGGTGTTGTGTGAATAACTTGGTATAAGTTGTAACTTCAATTTAACAATCCCCACTAAAGTGAGCCAGTTCTTCACAGGTATGGTGTGAATAACTCGGGACATGTAGGCTAAAAACGTGAGCTGTATTTCAGGATTTGAGCAGCAGGGTTCAAGAACTTGAAGAGGAATTATATATTTATGTCTTATTTGTGTGTGTTGAATTTTGTACAAAGTTACTCGAGGGATGCCTACATTAGCTGTCCCTAACTTAGAAACGATAGACCAGAGAGAAGGCAGCTAGCCAACACCACCCACCATCAACTCTTGGGCTACCCTTTTATCAATGAAAAGTGGGATTGACTGTCACATTACAATGCCTCACAGCTGCAATGGTGAGCATAATCAGCAACAGTATATTAATGTCTAACAAACAAAATTCAAAGTGAAGATTATGCATTGTTTCTCACATTATTCCATTTATAGAAGACACTTCTAATACACAGTTTACATGTTTTCTTCCTTTGCTTTCCTGTGTAAAACTTGTTACAGCTTAGGAAAATACCACCTTTATAAAGTTTAAAACGGTTTTATTTACACATAGATACATTCCAGTCTTCATCAAATTCCTATTCCCTTCCTCGTTAGATTATTTGATGCACAAGTGTGAAAAATATACTGCTCGGGGTAAAATATCAAGTAGGAAACAAAGCATTCATTATATTACAGATGCTACTTTATACTTTAATTTGTGGTTTGAGTAATTAAGAAAACAGTAGGACTATGGTTGATATTACAATAAAACACACTTGCTTGACTAGCCATTTTTCTAGCTTTCATTTGACACTTTTCATTATGGTCTGTTACTTTGACTTATTGTGTCTTGCTTAAGTGTACTATAATTATAAGTATAACAACATTTAAATCAGGTTTCTGATTAAAGAAATATGTGTATTTATGAATGGTGATTTAGTAACTGAAACCAAAACCATTTAACTTACTATGTTATTTAGAATAACACAGTAAAACACAGATAGTGTAATTATATGATGCTTTATGTAGAAGAAGAAACCAAACTTACACAGGCACTTTACTTTGTCTCCTTTCCAGCTACTGCTTCCCAAGCACACCTGAATGCCATCACCAATTAATGTGTAGTTCTGATCACAAGTGTACTGCGCTGAGGCATTGAAGGTAGTCCGAGATTCCAGGTACCTAACTTTTCCATTTTCAATGTCTGATAAAGGTCCACAGTCCACATCTAGGAAAAAAAGTGATTGGAAAAGTTTGAAAGTCATCACTGCTACAATTATGAGAATAATATCCCAAGTAATGAGGAAAAATACAGAAATTTTGAATGGAAAATTAAACCGTGACCAAACTTTAATGAATCAACTGGACTTTTTGCAAAATGTTGTGTGCAAGAGTTCTTACTCTATCTAACACACAAACTGTAGACAAATATTTTTGTTTTTCCACAAGGAAATGTTACCATCTTACTAAACATCACTGTAGTAACCAACATTCATGAGGGAAACAGTTTTACAAATAAGCTGACCTGACTTATAATTGAATCTAGAACTTCAGGTTTACACTGTTTCTCCTGATTTTAGATTTCACTAATAGATTCAAGCTCCAAACAGAGAACCCGAATATATGACAAGAAAGTACAATATAAATTCAGAGAAGTTTTCATTCTATACCTATGAATGTCATACATTATATTACTTGTGATTTCAAGATATTACAAAAAGGGTAAGGGAAGAAATCTTTCCCATTCATTCAATTATTTAGTGTTACATCACTGACGATATATCGGTACTATTACATGAAAACAAAATTTTGACTATTTGTGGGTCAAGATATATAAATATCCACTAAACAAACTTAAAGCAACTAACCTTCCAAAGTAACAAAAGTGTATAACTTACAGAAACAGATATATATAATAAATTTAAGAAGATTTACATTTACAAGATGGTGCTGCTCCTGTCCAGAAACCATCGGCAGCACATGTCCTTATTGCATCACCGACAAGCATGTTTCCCACTGGACATGTATATGTAACCTTTTGCCCCAAAGTAAAGCTGTTCCCCAGAATGGTGGAGTTTTCCTTCCTGTCAGGACTCCCACAGTTTGATGGACCTTTAAACATCATGAACGTAGAGTAAACTAAACATTGATACTCTTTCCTAGGACTAACTTTTACCTGAACACAAGTCAGAAAATTGAAAGAGAAGTAACTTACTTGAACCACCAAAGTTTTATGCTTTGATAGTATCAGGAAATATTCATCATACTTCACTTTCTTCAGACTGGAGCCACGGGTTCTTGGATGAGGATAAACCTACTCTCAACTCAAATTAAAAAAAAGATGTAACAAAAATAAACCAATACTTACACAAATTTCTAGTAGTCCAATCATTCAGCAAACTACAGTCACATATTACATTGTTACAAACTACAGTCACATATTACATTGTTACAAACTGTATATTACAAACTACAGTCACATATTACATTGTTACAAACTGTATATTACAAACTACAGTCACATATTACATTGTTACAAACTGTATGTTACTGGAATTAAAAATTTAACTAAAGGAAATGAGTGATTTAAAAAAACTTCATCCCAGGAATGTAACTAGCTATGAGGATAATGAGGTTATATTCTCAGTTGTTTTTTTACTTTCTTTACTCACTGACACACACACACACACACATTAAGTGGAAGTTACAGCTTGAAAGTTAAGTTTGATCTTACTAGGAAATTAGTTTTGATTATACTGATGTTCCGTACCCTTCACTGTAGTTTTGGTTATACTGATGTTCTGTACCCTTCACCATAGTTTTGGTTATACTGATGTTCCGTACCATTCACCGTAGTTTTGGTTATACTGATGTTCCGTACCCTTCACCGTAGCTTTGGTTATACTGATGTTCCATACCCTTCACCATAGCTTTGGTTATACTGATGTTCCGTACTCTTCACCGTAGTTTTGGTTATACTGATGTTCCGTACCCTTCACCATAGTTTTGGTTATACTGATGTTCCGTACCCTTCACCGTAGTTTTGGTTATACTGATGTTCCGTAACCTTCACCATAGCTTTGGTTATACTGATGTTCCGTACCCTTCACCGTAGCTTTGGTTATACTGATGTCCTGTACCCTTCACCATAGATGTACGTGAACCATCACACAGCTCATGCACAGCAGCAGACACATATGGGAAACTTAAGTATATTATTTAAGAGAAAACCCTTGTTCTTTATTTTAGTGGAAGTTGTGCTTACGTGATAACCTCTGTTATCAGTTCTCGAATATTTTATATAATTAATTTATGTTTTAATTACAGTACTATTATAGTGTAATCGCAGTCAGTACTCGAGTCCAAAAGAAGTTAAAAATTAACTAAAAATAATGTACTTCTACCAGTGAAAAGTTAACAAAATAGAAACTGAAACTAAAAAAACTTTTAAAAACTAGTGACATTATACAAACTATGACGTCTGTTTGGAAAATAATTTGTTTATATTTTAACTACTGTCACTTTTGCAAAACCAATCAGCTGATTATAATGTGTGTGCTACTAGGGTGTACATAATGATAACCCAATGTATTTTGTATGTAACAGAGCATAAGAAAAGTATATACAGTCCAGATTTTCCATAAGCTTCACCAATGGTGTGTGTGTTAGTTCACTTAAAAGAATAGAATTTTTTATTTATTTGCCACTTTCAGATTCAGTGTTTATTGAGACTAAACAGAAATGTAAGTAGAATCATACTCATGGAATTATACTACACAATAAATCAACAAAATGTTTCATTCCATTTTATGCACAGGCAACATAAGTTTGCTGTCGCAACTTACCAGAACTAGGCACTACTGTGACAGCATTATTCTTTCACACATTTCCAGATGTGCGAGGTCAAACCCAAACATAGTATACTGTAAAAATACCTTTATTTTTTGTCAAAAACTACCAGAACACTGTTCTATATACTAAAATAAGTGCTGGAACAGCATTATTCTACAACTCAAGCACTGATCACAGTAAACTATTTTATTCAGTGCTTTTCAGTTTTGATAAAAAATATTAAAATTGAAGAAAGAGAGAATATAATTGACCAAAAATACATTAACTTTAGTTAATTTCTAAATAAAAGTGATGCAAATAATACAGGAGAAATGGAGGCTTTAATAGTGCAACCTGTTGTAACTCGGCAGCAGTGTTGCATGCTTCAGTACTGCAACCTGTTGTAACTCGGCAGCAGTGTTGCATGCTTTAATAGTGCAACCTGTTGTAACTCGGCAGCAGTGTTGCATGCTTCAGTACTGCAACCTGTTGTAACTCGGCAGCAGTGTTCCAACACTGCTGCCGAGTTACGACAGGTTGCAGTACTGAAGCATGCATGCTTCAGTACTGCAACCTGTCATAATTCGGCAGCTGTGTTGCATGCTTCAGTACTACTTTATTGATGAAAAACAAGAAGTGTAATGATATTTTCAGTTCATACACAATTATCAATGTAACAGTGAAAAAACGACTTACTGTATTGACAAATCCAAGGTAAGTAATCAAGGTCACAAGTAACATCATTCCACATCCACTTCCTTCCGCCATCCAAGACGACACAGTTCTGTTGGCCATTGTAGTTGTTGGGCTGGTCAGGAGCCCACAGAAAATCCACTACTACTTGTTCTTTTTGTGGAACAAAGAACATGAAATTGTTAAGTCTATTTGATCAGGGATTGTCCTGGGAACTGATATATGATATTATATATACATTTCAGAGTTTAGAAAAATAATTTTCTATTCAGCTACATATTAAACTTTTAATTTTTTGTTATTACTAAAAAAATCAATTAGGTATCTGTATGTCTATATTTCAGTACATTTCAACAAATCAATTACAAAAAAGACTATTGATCAAACTATTGTCGTTAAACATTGAAGTAATTATTTCACATCAGCAGAAACTAGAGATGTGTTCTTCGATAGGTTATTTATTCATTGACATTGAATTAATTATCATTTCATCATCATTGTGAACAAAACAGCTATAGTTGGATAGCTTATTGATACTACATTACTGAGTTTTTAGTATTCTTGAAAATGAAAAAGAAAAACAACAAAATTTCTAATAAATATGATATCCTCAAATTTACATATCTTTTATAAAAAAAAATGTCACATAAGTACACTGGAAATTGACTGTACGAAAATCAGAAATCCTTAATTACGATACTCACTGTCGATCCAGTGCCATTTCTGAGACACTATCCCAGGCTCCCTCTGAGCTCCAAGCCATACTAATTTAGATTTCAACTGGCCTTTTAGCCTCTCCAACTCAGTTGACAAAAAGTTGTGGGTTACATTACTCATGGAATGGGCAATCTGCCCTCCATGGTCTTGACAATATCGATCTGCATCCTTAAAAGTCCCACCCTTTTCACCTTGAAACTCGTAACAGGTGTGGTTGAATGTCGTAAGTTTCAAAGGCTCCAACTGATTGCCACACCGCTGAGCAGAGAACTCTTAATAAACCAATCGTAATATAAATGTTACATTCAGCTGGTTGATTTAAAAAATTAATTACTTAATTAAAACTTTAAACATCTCTGTAAGAAGAATAGATTTAACTTCCATTTTACAGTTGAGAAATATCTTTCAGTTCATAAGTTATTTTACAAAACCACTTTACTACAGGTTTACCTAACTCACTGGTAGAAATATCTATTACATTACTGGCAGATTTAACTAATGCATCATACAGAAATATCTACTGTTACCCACAGACTTAACTAATGCATCGTACAGAAATATCTACTGTTACCCACAGATTTAACTAATGCATCGTACAGAAATATCTATTATGTTACCCACAGATTTAACTAATGCATCGTACAGAAATATCTACTAACTTATTGACAGAAACATCTTCTACAGACTTAACGTATGTGTCATACAGAATCATCTTCCACAGACTTAACGTATGTGTCATACAGAAACATCTTCCACAGACTTAACGTATGTGTCATACAGAATCATCTTCCACAGACTTAACGTATGTGTCATACAGAATCATCTTCCACAGACTTAACGTATGTGTCATACAGAATCATCTTCCACAGACTTAACGTATGTGTCATACAGAAACATCTTCCACGGACTTAACGTATGTGTCATACAGAAACATCTACCACAGACTTAACGTATGTGTCGTACAGAAACATCTACCACAGACTTAACGTATGTGTCATACAGAAACATCTTCCACGGACTTAACGTATGTGTCATACAGAAACATCTACCACAGACTTAACGTATGTGTCATACAGAAACATCTTCCCCAGACTTAACGTATGTGTCATACAGAAACATCTTCCACATCACCAATATTTATAAAATGAGTACAGCAATAAAAAAGTTGTGTATAATTTATACTCCATATTTTCCCAACAAAGTTGTGTTTATCAGTTTGTTATTTTAACCAATATGATTGTCTTTTACTGACACTAGACACTGTGAACCACTGAAGAACAATAACCACAATATACTGTGTACTTTCACTAATGCATGTGTGTATTTCCCCCACGTTATGGTGTTAAATAGAGTATAAAATGTTTCAGAATAAAAACAAGAAAACTCAAAAGTTGACTTACCCTGTGTTGAAAAAACCATGACCTCGCAGAGTGACAGAGAACCCTCAATGCCCACCATCTGAACATAAACATATCGACCTTTAATAGGGTAAGCACACTCAAAGTCTTTAGTGGTGCCATCCTCTGCAAAAAAAAAAATCAAACAGTGATGACTTAAACAAATACCCGAAAAAAAAATTTTAAATAGAGCTGTATTTTTCGAAGGATCAAATCTGTATTTCGTAATGAAGCAGCATGATTGGTCACATGGGTGTGTAATTTGAGATAGTACTTCAAAATATTTTCAATAGTTGAAAGGTATAAAAATAATACCATTACACATTGTTAACATGACATTTGCTAAGTTCAAAACAACAGCAGGGTTGAATACTTGAGCTTTTTAAGTAGTGTGTAACATAATCAAATTGTTGGTTTAGCTAGATTTGAGTATTTTGACATGGAATACAATAACGTTTGAGAAAAAAAAGAATAAGCTGAATCTAATGAAATGGGAAAGAATTTCACACTTATAATACTTTATGTCATTGATACTAGGACCCTTCTGATTTAACAAATTAAACACGATATTCTCAGAATTTGTGACTCAAACTTGTAGTTTTTTCTTTCTTTGGATTAGAGGGTCAGGTTTTTATAAATTAATAGTTAGCTATCCTCCAGTGCTGTTCTCCTTGTTTACAGAATCAACAAAATTAAACTGGCTGTCAAATGCCTGATTTTTGAGGATATGCACCTTTGAATAATTTCAGAAGCTATCTTTAACTTTTTACAATTTGAGTGTTGGTTATCTCTACTTTTATAATGTGAAAACAACTTTCAAATGTTAATTTACCAGAATTATATTTTAAGTTGTTTCTCTGGATATTTGGAAAAATTACATTTGATATTGAGATCTTTTATATTACATTACCCTCAGGAAAACTGTATTAAACCCCGATTAATCGGTATGTTATTAGTCATTAGAAGCTAGTACCATTTCTACTTGGTCAGATTTATCATAGAGGAGATACATTACCAAGGTTACGTATTGTATGTCACAAAATTCTAGGCTTTTCTTTACACATGCAAATATAAATACTTGGAGATTCCCTTGGCTCTGAATGTTATTTAAAACTTATAGTTCCTTTTTTTTCAAATTATTCTTGGTATTTGGGAAAACATGGAAGGTCAAAACAGTAGATAGATCATAACAATTAAAATCCAGTATTTAAAACATTTGGACCTTGGTTACAGGTTACCTTGGTAACACTACAGAGATGTTTTGGATCTTGGTTACAGGTTACCTTGGTAATACTATACAGTTGTTGTATACCTTAGTTACCTTGTTATTACAGAGATATTTTGGACCTTAGTTACTATAGTTACCTTGGTAACACTATACAGCTGTTTTAGACTTTAGTTACTTTGGTAACACTACAGAGTTGTTTGGAAACTTGGTTACTAAACTGGTGTTGAATACCTACCAATTGTTCCTGGATACCAGGCACACAAACGGTTTCCTTGGATAACTGAGCTGTTTCCAACTCTGATCTCTAGATCGTGTAGAGGTTGATGACCTACAATAAGAAAATAAAATAATCAGATGAAGGATTTCTCAAAATCTAACACTGGTAATTTAAAGATGAAATAAAAGATTTAATTCCTTGAAAAAATTAGAGAATAAAACACATACGACTTAAAGAGTATATTATACATACAAGAAAATAACCACAATTCTTTATTTTCTTATGTGACCAATGATTTTTCTAATGTATTTATTTTTTAGTTTAGAAAACACGTCTATTTTGTAATATACTTTACTCATTCTAGGTAAATTTAATTGAAAATATTTCAGATTAAACTATTATTTTCATAATTCTCCTGTCTAGCAAAAATCATTTTGTAACGAAATAGAAGAAAAACGAAATATTTTCATTTACCACAGCATCCTCTAGTGAAAATCCTCACAACCCTCACTTCATATTCTTGTAATAAGTCCACTTGCCACCAGGGCGAGTTGTCTTGCTTTGTTTCTGTACAGAACTTGTCCTCGTGAAACGTTGTCGTATCCCCGTCATTGGCGTTTTGGGGTTTTCCACCCCGCGAAGTGCTAGACTGGTTAGCAGGTTTTCCGTAGGCGACATTTATGGCTGTTTGGCAATGGAAATTTAATTTATTTTAGCAATTTGTTCTCGACTTTCTTTCAATAAATAAACTGTTATGTGTACTTACTGTAAGTATATATATGCAGTACATAGTATAAATATTGACTTGTTACTTATTTTGCCGTTTATTTGGAAGTATAGCTATGTAAACCAACTATACGTATTCACGATCAGATTAAAGAGAAGGGGGGGGGTTGAAACTTATTTCACCATGACAACAGCAATTTTAGTCATTTCATATAAACCTGTTGTTTGTAATTGTTCACTAATTTTCTTTCGTAAATATTTGCTCGGCCATTTAACAAAACATAAGCTTTTATTACTTTATATTTTTATTATAAAAAGTCATTGTCTTTATACTGTTGCGTCAGCAGTCACATGAC